CCGCGGCCGGGCCAGGCCGCTCCGGGCCGGGTTGGACAACCGGGCGCGCGGGTGGCTCTCTCCAGTCGCCCGGCTGGCACGCTTCAGCTGACCCAGGGAGGGCGCTCCACTTGCACCCACCCTGCTGGGCCTTAGAGGAAGGGGCCCTCCCGCCTCGGCCCCGGGCTCGACCCCTGCAGCTAAGAGGAGGGACCGCCTAGACCCCCTGGTCTTCTGGAACTGACCCGCCTATGACTGCTCAACTTGTTCCGGCGGAACCCTCGGAGCTCGAACTTTGGGCCGGTTTGAGCAGTGGTCTCCGGGACCTCTGATCCCGACTGGCCCTCGAGGACACGGATCTCCGCTGTGTCTACTGCGCTGACCGCTGCTGACCCAGGGACCGTCCGTAGCTGGGTGGTCTGGTCTCAAGTGGCTGCAGACAGAGCCGCGGACGGAGAGGTCAGCGCCCAGAGCGATCTGTGAAATGGGCACACAGAGACTGGGGAGTACCGGGAAGCCCCGGGTTACCCTCAACACACAGCGAGTGGCCGGCTCTCTGGTCTCGGTGGGTAGAGTCTTTGCTGGGTCCCACCGGGTCCCGCCCCTCCAGGCCCCGCCCCGAGGGCGGTGCTAACACAGGTCCCGCCCCCTGGAAGGGAACTTCCGGCGCAGTGGAATTCCGGGTACCGGCCGCGGCTGCTGGCTGGCGCACCCTGTTGTCTTAGAGGAGGCCCCATGAGTGCGGCGCCCCTCGTGGGCTACAGCAGCAGCGGCTCTGAGGATGAAGCCGAGGCCGGGACCCAGGCCCGGCCGGGCGCTGGAGGCCGCCCTCGGTGAGAAGCGAGGAAGTCTTTCTGGGGAGGAGTGCGATTCGCGCGAGACCCTGACGGGACCGGAGTGTCTGGCGGAGGGTGGGAAGATGCTGGGCGGCCCTGCAGGGAAGGAGAAGGGAGCAGTGGGAAAGAGGATCCCGAAGACATCCCGGGACAAAGCCCCAGAGTACCCACATCCCCTGGCTAGGCCACGGTTAGGAGACAGGAAATTGGGTTCAGATCCAGCTGCTGCCGGCTCTATTTCCAGACACACATCACTGTACCACCCTAGGTCTGTTTCCTCATCTAACGCAGTTGCAGTCATAATAACTAAAGCGTTGGATAGTTTTTTCATTCATCCAATAAATATTCATTGAGCACCCACTCTGCACCAGGCTTGGGACTGGGGACTCAGCAGTGAACAAAACCATCAAAATCTCTTCGTGGATCCTCGGCTCTTAAGTGCCAGGCCTGGTACTTACTGACTGCTTTTCAAGTAGTATCTCACTTGATCTTACAGTAATGCTATCAGGTAGAAGTATACTTCACGGATGAAGAAACTGAGGCCCACAAAGGCCACATGACTGGACCACGACCATAGAGCTAGGAAGTGCTGCTCCAGCTCAGGCTTGCCGGTTGGGGAAGGTGACTTCTGAATCACACATCCTAGCTGCCTGCTCAGTTGTTTCCCACAAGGACCACGCACCCTACTAAGGTCTACCTCTGGAGTCCTTGGGAGACTCCAATGAGACAATACTGAGGAAAGCTTTATGGTTATCTAGAAGCTGCTTATAGCACCTAGTAGGAAATAGATGCTCAGCCACCCTGTACAAGGGGTTACAACTTTTGTTGTATGCACAAAGGTGGAAAATGTTCAGAAGATAAATGTGCTTGTTTTATTTTTCTCCCTTGCAGTGGCCAGAGTCCCTTTCCCAACCAGAAGTTGCCAGTACCGGACAGTGTGCTACACATGTTCCCAAGCACCGAGGAGGGGCCTGAAGATGACAGTGCAAAACATGGGGGCCGCGTGCGCACCTTCCCCCACGAACGGGGCAACTGGGCTACCCATGTCTACCTGCCGTGTGAGTAATGTGTGAAAGGCAAGCGGCTGAGACTGATAGGTGCCTCTTGATGGGAGGAAGCTGACTCCAATCAGGAGGAAGAAGCCAGAAGCCTCTGACATTGGCGGCACAAAAGAGGTCGACTCAGCAGAGAGAGATGTTTGAAGAACTGAGGAATTTTTCTGTAAATGTAGTTTCAGTTTTCAAACCATTGCCAGAAATATTTTTATTAACTCTAGGTATAATGTTCTCTCTGCTCGTGAAGAGGTGACCAAGGGAGGGTCTAGGGCAGAATGTCAAGGCCATCCCAGAGTACAGCTGTAGCTGGCACTTTATTTCTAAGAGAGCCTTAAATGTACTGGGTTCAAGTCCCACCCCAGCCCTAAAAAGTGAATGGCAGGCAGAAAATGCCCAGGCTTCAGAATCAGACCTCACTCACCACCCACTACTCTGAGTTACCTTTAGTAAGTTACTGGACTTCTCAGACCCTCAGATTCCTCATCTCTATAATGGGGATAATAATAATACCTATTTCCTAGGATTTTTGTGAAGATTAAATCACACAATCTATGGCAAGTTGTTAGCACGATACAGAGGAAGCAGTGGCTCTTATTATTATTTTGTGTAAGGTCAAGTAAACTCTTGGAACCTCTATTTACTCGTCCACAGGGTGGGACCAATTCTCTATACTACCTGCTCACCAGGGCATTGGGCAAACTGAGTAACAGAGTGTGAGCAGACTGTTAGCCGTGCAGCCCTAGTCACATGTTTGGTAAAATAAATAACATTTGAACATACGATGGTGGTCATCGTAATATTCTTTGTCTTTGTGGAAAATTAGGAGCGTGCTTAATGTCTATCAGGAGATTCTAAGTGTGTCATATTAAAGAAACACTATTTCTGATTATGGATTATTGCGGAGCTGTAATCATGAGCTTGACCTCTGTACTGAGAGGAAAGATGTCCAACATATGTTAGATGAAGAAGCCAGTAGAACACTTTGAATGATATGCACTCAACTTTTTTAACAAATAAGATATATACAGTCTACAGCCATGCCACCCTGAACAAGCCCGATCTTGTCTGATCTCGGAAGCTATGCAGGGTTGGGCCTGGTTAGTACTTGGATGGGAGACCACCTAGGAAGACCAAGTGCAGTAGACGTAAAAAAATAAAGTAAAAAATAAGGGATTGTAAACTGACAAGGTCCTTATAATCTGTCAGGTCAACCAAGGGTTGCCTTGCCTAAAAATAAAAAAAAAAGATACAGACATTGGTACATGCATTGAGAAAAGCCTGGGGATATAGGCATCCAAATTTTACAGTGTTTATCCGTAGGATAGTGGCTTCAAAATGAGGTGTGTGCACCCTGGGGGAGAGGTCACGATGATCCATTAGAGGGTTAGAAGAAAAGTATTAGGACTTTCTTATGTTTATCTTTTTATCTCATCTTTTTAAATTCTGTTCTTGAGAGTATACATTGTATAACACAGTTTTACAGAGTAGCACATGTTTGTAATTTGTAAATACACGTTTTTCGCAGGTATGTGTGCAAGCTTGTTTTGCTAATGGCCCGTGTGATCACGATAGTTTAGAGACCACCGCTCTAGGTGATGGGATTTCAGGGGCCCCTGCTTTCTCTTTGCATGTCTTTCTTACTTGAATTCTTTACAATGAGTATATGTGTGTTACTTCTGTAACCAAAAATACATATTCAAATATTATCAGAATACATAAATATAAGCTGCTATCAAAGTAATTTTCTCCTAAAACCCAGAGTGAAAAAGGCTTTTACCTTCTGGGCGCCTTCACTCAGCCATGCAACCCCACGATCTCCACTCTCACCTCCAGATGACGCCAGGGAGGAGTTCATGGATCTGCTTGACACGTTGCTGTTCCACGCCCAGACATATGTCCCTCGGCTGGTGAGGATGGAGGCCTTCCACCTCAGCCTGTCCCAGAGCGTGGTTCTGCGGCATCACTGGATCCACCCCTTCGTGCAGGCTCTGAAAGACCGCATGGCCTCCTGCCAGAGGTGAGTCCCAAGGGCTCCCCTCTGCCTCTCCTCTCCCTCTCCTCCAAGGCTCCCCTTCCTATCCTGAGCTACTCTGGGCACCGAGCGTGGGATGTATTACCCCGAAAATAGGGCAAACCTAAAGGTTGGAACACCAAACATCTCCTGGAGCCATCTGCTGTACACACCATCCTGTGTGACCTTGGGCACGCCACGTAAGCTCTGGAGTCCTTACCTGTGTGCAGGTCCTGGGAATGGTGATGGCTGCCTCAGGGGAGACTGGCAAAGGCTCTAAACTGGACCCTTCTTCTGGTTCTGTCTGCCAGCCTCGGGTTTTTTCCCTTAAGTATTTCCTACCTCTTCTTCCTACCAGAAGTGCCTTTCCTCCTATACTTGACCAGATCAGAGCCCTGTTCCTTCATTGAGGCTCTCCCAGAATCCCTCAGTCCCATGAGTCATCCGGTCCTGTGACTGTTTACACTTTAGAGCTCATTTCACTCATCTTCATACCCAGTCATTCCCATATCCACCTCCCCCTTTGGAACCCAAGTTCCTATAGGCCCAGGAATGTGGCTTCCCTCTGAATTACCCTCATCTTTTTTCCAGGTGCTTTGCTCACTGTAGGCATCATATGAATGTTTATTGAAAGATTGAGCAGGCGAGAGGGAGCCCAGGCATCACCCTCTAGATCCTCTGATGTTGGTTCTAGAAGCAGCCAAAAAAGCTACCCAAGTGGTGGTTTTATCTGCAGAGCTCTTTCTTCAAGTGAGGTGTTACACAAAAGCCCGGATGTGTAGATGCGTGAGAGAGAGAAACAGTCTTCTGATCAAAGCCGCACCCCCACGGTTCAGGAGGCCTTGGACCCAGGAAGTCCGCGGAACTGCTGGCCAGTCGGAGAACCTCACGTTTAGTTTAACGCCTTCTGAGACCCAAAGGAAAGGATTTGCTCCAATTCAGTCGGCCAGAGAATCAGCACTAAAACTCATCTCCACCTAATGCAGCCCCTGCCGCCTTTTTTTAAATTGTCACCACCAAATTTATTGAGCCATATTTATATTAATCAGGATATTAGGTGCCAGAAGTCCAACCCAAAGCAGCTGGAGTTTATAGAGTGGTGTAACTAGAAAGTTCAGAGGTAGCACTGGCTTCATGCACGAATGGATCGGGGTGACCAGAGATGTCAAATGACGCCTGACTCTTACCAGCTCCGGGCTCTGCACCTCTCTGTGTTGGCTTCATTCTCACAATGGCAAAGGAGGCCACCAGCATCTCTGGGCTGCCCACCTACCAATGTGTAAAGACATCTGTCTTTTCTTGCAGCTTCAGCAAATGTCATGGGAATGACTTTGATTGGTCTGCCTTGACTAAGAGGCTCTCCAGAATTCCAGACACCCCAGATCCAATTCAGAAAACTTATCCTTAAAATTCTGCTCCTCTAAGACCGTTCTCATACCAAACTCTGTATTGGGGTTCTCCAGAGGAACAGAAGCCTGAGACTTAGGGGCGGAGTGGGGGAGGCAGGGGAGACTGATGATATAAGTCCCAATATGAGCCTGAAAGCCAAAGAACTGGACACTGATGTCCAAGGGCAGGAGAAGGTGGATGTCTCAGCTCAAGCAGAGAGAGCGGATTTGCCCTTCCTCTGCCATTTTGGTCTGTTTCAGGCCGTGATGCCCACCACCCTGGGAAGGGCCATCTGCTTTACTCAGTCTGGCCATCAGATGCTAATCTCTTGCAGAAACACCCTCACAGGCACCCCCAGAGATCATGTTCTACCAGGTCTCTGGGCATCCCTTAGATAAGTCGACCCTTCAGATTAACCATCACAGTTGGGCACAGACACCCAGCATTCACTCCAGGATGTTCGTCAGGCACCTTGCAGAACGCTTTCCAAACTCTTCATTTAACCAAGTTCCTGCTGGTTCTATCATCCCTTAATGTTTTCCCCGAAAGGAATGCACTGGAGGCTGAGGGCCGATGGGGAAGCCAGCAGTTGACTGACTGTGCTGTCACATGAGTTGTGAGACTCTACCCAAATGCTGGGGTGTTGCGTTCCCCAGATGGAGTGAGACCTTGGCCTGGAGGCTGTAAAATGATTCTTTCCTATAATGGGATTTGCCAAGTTCGTCCACAAAGGGCAGCAAGCCAGTCTGTCCCGCTGAGATCTGGTGTCCCAGAGAACACAGAACCGGTCAGAGTCACAGCACCTACCTCGGTGAACCAAGGGGTCCCTGTGTAACTGATCTGAGTGCTAGGTGGATGTGGGTTGGCATTTCTGCTCCAATTTCACACCAGCTGAGACCCAGTTCCCCTCACTAAAGCATCATAGGTGACAGCAAGGACTTTGGAATCTGGCCGACTGAGGTTTGAGTTGTGGCTGATCAAATTCAGCCTCAACCAAGCTTCAGTTTTCTTGTCTGTAAAATGGGCATCGTTATAGTGCCTACCTCACAGGGCTGTATGAGAATCCCCCCAGCTGATGTGCACAAAGCTCTCAGGTCAGCCCCTGGCATACAGGGAATGTTCTTGTTATTGCTTAGATCGATCAGAGTTGCCTTTTTTTAAAAAAAAAAAACTGCGAGGATCAAATTGGCCTTTAAATGATCTGTTTTCACCTACCTGATGAATAAGACTTTCTAAGTTCCAGTCAGTAAAGTCAATAGTCTCAAATTGTTTAATGGAATGAACTGCTATTAATAAAGTAAATATTTTGTTAGCATCTAGATGAAACTGTGTTACTTAGACTGGATGATTATTTAAGGTCTCGTCCAGCTCTAGGGTGACAATACTAAGTATGAAATGAGATAACTATATTTTCAAACTGCTATTTTTTTAATGTAAACTTTTTTCTGATTTTTTTTTTTATTATCGTTCCTGAAATATGGTCTTCTAAATTTCAGATTCTGCTTTACTGCCAACCAGATAAAGATTTATACCAATCAAGAGAAAACCAGGTGAGTCTCCCCATTCATTTTCAGAAGGTTCTTTGTTGTAAAGATTTAGGGGGCGCTTTGCTTTTGGCCTTGTCCACTGCACTTTTTCGTTTGTTTGTGCTTTAGCCAACTCTGTGACTAAAGGCAGCTGTTCCCAAATCGGAACCTTTCATTTAGAGAAATGACTGGGGGAACATGGAGGGAGGGCGGAGGTAGAGAAAAACATCTCGGTGCAGTGAAATAAGCCGAAGGCTGAAAGAAAGCCTGAATTCCTGCCCAGCTCTGTCCCCGGTTTAAAATTCAGCTCATATCTTCACCTCTGTGACCTTCCCTTCCCATGTTGTCACATGCCTGCCCTTGACACATTCATCATTGGGCACTTGTGAGGTTCAAGTGAGCCAAACAAGTTTTGAAAAGTATTAAATTATTAGATGAACCTAAGAAGAAAGTGTTATTATCAGGGCTTCAAGGTGAGCCTCCTGTCTGATCCACTCACTGAGCTGCCTTCTCTTCGCACCTCTGAAAGGAAGGCTCATTCATTCATTCACTGTGTGCTGGACAGTAGAGATTCATCAGTGAAGAGGTCAACACAGTCCCTGCTCTTAGGTATCTCACATTTTCCGGAGGCGACAGATAATAAAGTAAATGAGATCGTTTGTAACTATTGTGTGATATGATAGCCAGGAGCAGATAGCCAAGGAGGGCACTAGGGAAGTGGCCAGAGAGGTGGCATTTGCTGGGGACCTGAGAGTGAAAAGGAACCAGCCTTGGGAAAAGCTGCGGCAAGAACCTGCAAGTAGAGGACACAGCAAACGAGGGGACTCGGTTAGGAAAGAGCTTGCCACGTTTGAGGGGACCAGTGATTAGAACCCAGGGAGCAGGTGGGAGGGCATAGGCAATGCATTGAGCAGGGTCAGCTCATGCAGAGCCTTCAAGGTCAAGGTAAGGAGTTTGGATTTTCAGCCATTGAAGAGATGTGAACAGAGGAGACACATGATCCAATTTATGTTAAATGTCAGTCTGGCTAGACCGTGTCTATGGCTTCTGAGGAGAGAAGAAATGTAAGTGAGTCAGGGCAGACACAGGGAGAGCGGAGAGGAGGCAGGTGTCGCTGTCCAGGCGAGGGGCCAGGGGCGGCCTCGACGAGGGTGGTAGCCGTGGAAGGGCCAGCGAGCGGGCACGTCTCTGGTGTGCTGGAGGTAGAATCAGCTGGGCTGGATCTGTGCAAAATGAGGGGATTGCTGGGTTTGGGGTTTGAACAACTGGGTAAATAATGGCCCCGTTTTCTGTGATAGGAAACACTGGTGGGGTGAGAATCAAAAGTCCCGCTTTATGCTGCTTAGATTTTGCTGTCCGTTAGACCCACAAGTGGAAAATGTCACATACACAATGGTATTGCACAGGAGAGGGACCAGCTGGAGATAAAACTTTGGGAGCCACGAGCCTGTGTGATATTTAAGGTCGGGCTAGGTGAGATCAGCCTGCTGGAGAGCCCAGGAGGAGCAGTGGAGAGGAAGGAGGGTCGAGCTCTGCAGCCCTCGGCCACTTAGAGGTTGGAAAGGAGCTGACGGCGGAGGAGACGGAACAAGGAGGCCCGGGGTGCGGTCAGACCAGGACTGTGGAGCGTACGGTGTCTCGGAAGCCAAGACAGAAAAGCGTTTCGGGGAGGGAGGTGTCAGCCGTGTCAGATACTGCTGAGCAGCCAAGAGAATTACCCACTGGATTCGATAACATAGAGCTCGTGGGCAACCTTGACGCGAGCAGTTCTGGCCAAGTGGGTGGAAGGCGGAAGGTGAGGAATCAGAGAAAGCGAAGGTAGACAGATCATCTAAAAAGAAGTTTTACTGGGAATGGGTGGGGCTGGCTAAAGATGCGCATTCAAGGGAGGGTTTTAAAGGTGAGAGAGATGTCTGAGGGCCGATGGGAGGGTAGCCAGCGCGGAGAGCCAAGGCCTCCAGAAGGGTCCTGACTCAGCAGCGGTGATGGGGAGCATGGGCACAGAAGCTTCGGGGTTTGTAGACTTGGCAGTGGCAGAGGAAAGCGTTCCTGCGAGAGTTATTAGACCCTGGGGAGGAAGGGGAAATGTGTGGTTAGAACCGGGGAGGGAAGATTTCCAGACAGAGGAGGGGGAGGATGAATGAGCCGGCTCAGAGGGCAGGAAAGTGAGCTGACCAGCGGCTGGAGTAAGAAAGTGCTCGTGGCCCAGACTGCTCGGCTGTCTGTCACACCTCCTGCCCCACCACACACCTGCGCTTACGTTCTTATGCTCATGCCCACGTTGTTTCCACTTCTGTCTCCCTCTAGGACCTTTGTTGGGCTTGAGGTCACCTCAGGGCACACCCAGTTCCTGGACCTGGTTTCAGAGGTAGACAGAGTCATGGAGGAATTTGACCTCGCCACTTTCTACCAGGTAGCGAACGGGGCCTTTTCTTCTCCATGGGCCCATCTATAACGAGAAAAACACGCCTTCAGGAAGCCCTCGGTAGAGGCAAACTGAAGAGCCTTCCAGAACTTTCCCTGTGAGACGTCCTGAATGCCAGCCTTCAGAGGACACATACCCCTGGGGAGTTGAGGGTTCTGAGGTGGGATCAGATGCAGCTCACCCGAAGTCCAACATTTCTTAGGATTTCTTAGAATTTTTATATTGTATCTTAAATATGCACAAGAGTTACGCCTTCTACTCCATATTGTATTCATGTTTATTTTTAGATTTTTTAAAAAGTAGTTCTCCCCAATATTTTTTAGTGAAATCGATACTCCAGGAAGGGTGTCGCTTCACAGACCTTCCTTCACCTTGCCCCATGCCCTCTAGGAGTACTCAACTCCAAGTCGAATGTCTAGGCTTTAAAGGGCTATTGGTTTTGCTTGATACATTCTTTTTAAACCATTCCAAGATAGGTAAGTATGAATTTGAACAGAGACAATTATTATTTCTTCAGAACTTTAGGCATTTTGGTTTTGTTCATCGTTAAATGTATGTCACCTGTTGAACTGTTTTAGATCAGAAAATAGACTCGAAGCCTGGGTTCTCTTCCGAGTCCCAGATTTAACGACTCACTATGGTGCATGAAAGAAAGCCTCTGAGAACGGGACCGTCTTAGCATGGGCTGTCAGAACAAAATACCCTAGACTGGGTGGCTTAAACAACAGACTTTATTTTCTCACGATTCTGGAGCCAAGATCAAGTTGTCAGCATGGCCAGTTTTTGGCGAGGACTCTGTTCCTGACTTGTAGATAGCCATCTTCTCACTGTGTCCTCACACGGCTGAGAGAAGGAAGCAGGCTCTCTGGTGTCCCTTACACAGCATGAATCCCAGCCTGAGGGCCCCACCCCCCTGACCTCAGCTAAACATGATCGATTATCCCCCAAACACCATCACATTGGAGGTCAAGGCTTCAACATAGGAATTTGGGGGTGGAGGGACACAGTTCAGCCCACACCAAGGACAACCCCAGGCTGTGTCGTCTCTGTAGAGGGTGCTTAGAGTTAGCAGTGATCGACACTGAGGGTCTAGTCTCCCACAGAGCAGGCCAGGGACCCATCAGGGATGCCACAGCGACTCTCACAGACCCGCCGTGATGTCTGGGCCCGCCACGGCACCTGGGTGACCGCCTGCCTCCCTGCCACTCCTCCGCAGGACCCTTCCTTCCACATCAGCCTGGCCTGGTGTGTGGGCGATGCTCAACTCCAGCTGGAAGGGCCGTGCCTGAGGGAACTACAGGTGAGTTTCCCGGAGCGGAGGAGCTAAACTCCAGAAGCGATGGGAGAGGTGTCGCGGAGAGGGAGGGGAGCCGACTGGCCCTGGGGGTTCGGCATGCAGACCTGAATCCCTGGGAAATCACAGACGTGGCAGGAGACCCCACCACCTTACCTGGCTCCTCAGAGCACAGCCCTGGACCAGCAACAGCATCACCTGGGAGCTTATTAGCGCTACCAACTCTTAGGCCCCAACCCAGACCTAAGAAATGAGAATCGCATTTTAACAAGACCTCTAGGGATTTGTGTGCACAATAAAATTTGAGAAGCACTGTCCTGGAACACTGATCTGAGAGGATGCTGCAGGCCTCCCCTGAAGTCCCAGCCCCTCTCCCAGAGGTCAAAGGCTTGGTGCCCACAGGGGTCTGGCAGGTGTTGGAGATGCGTGAAACATGCCAGGTGTAAGGAACAGCCACCCTCATAGCCTTTCCCATATTTTTATAAGTAGGTGAAATATTTCACTGTCCCATCAGTCCTTAAGAGGAGCCGAGACTCTGCCTCCGCTCCGGAAGAGGAACGTGGGCCTCGCGTTGCTGCCACTCCTGTTTTTTCCAGAGAAGCCAGAAATCCAGATTTTTATGTGTAATCTCCCTATTTTCAAATGTCGACAACTAATTTGTATTTAAAAAAAAAAAAAAGATTTGCAAGCCAAACCAAACATGTGCACACTAGACAACCCCTGGACCATCATCAAGCGGCACGTCTGCTCTTGGCCTGATCATGCTGGAGGTGGCGAAGAGCTCTAGTTTGGGGCTCCAGCACTTGGGTCCCAATCCTGGTTTTATTGGGTTCTGTAATCCAGGGCCCTGGGCATCCATCTCTGAAAAGGTGGGATGATAGGACCAGCCTCGCAAGATTGCAGAGCTGGTTAGACGGGGTAAGTGAGCGCAGCACCTGGAGCCCGCTGGCCCTTGGTCTCCCCTCAGCGGTGCCTAACCTCTGAAGGGATTCAGTGGGCTGGGTTTGCTCACAGTGCCCTCTGGGTCCCTGATTCCCCTAAAGTGACTGTCCTCTCCCGGCTTCTGGCTTAAGGAGATCGTGGATGAGTTCGAAGACTCGGAGATGCTGCTGCGCATGCACGCTGAGCAGGTCCGCTGCAAGTCTGGGAACAAGTTCTTCCTGATGCCTTTGAAGTGAGCACCAGAGGCCCGTCTTGTCCCAGGCCCCGCTGCAGGCCAGGCAGAGATGGAGGAGCCTCCCACTGGGAGGCCTGGCTGGAGCTGCGGCCACTCCTGGTAGTCCCTGGGGCCTGGTTCTCTCCCAGCCCTTTTGGGCCGTAGGTCCAGTGCTGTCGTGTTGTGGTCATTCCCAGAAGTCACCAGTAGAGGGCAGCCGGGCTTCCTGGTTCTAGGTCTGAGGTGGTTATGCCAAAAAAAAAAAAAAAAGGGGTCACCTGGTGAGCCCACCCATACTCAGCCACAATCCCCACTGTTGTCCCTCCAACACATGGCCCCTCCCCAAATTCCCCCATGCCCCCATCAGCTGTTTACATTGCGACGCCTTTGGCCCCTGACCAGCGTTTTTAAAACCATCGTGCCCTGGCTCATCCCTGCTCCAGCCAGGACATAGGGTGCTTCGAGGGGTCTGTCACCCTCCCTCCTCGAAGCATGTCACTTTTATTTATTTATTTTTAGTCTCTCCCCTTCACGTGCCAGCGGAGGCTATTTCAGGGCTAAGGTGCAGGGTGCTAATTTGAGGCTCAGCATCAGTTTTCTCCCTTCCTCCCACTCGCCCCCAGCCAGGTGCCTGGGGAGACTTGAGCAGATGTTTCATTCTGGCCTGGCTGGTGGCTTTAAGCCAGGCCTCCAACGCTCTGTGACCTCTGATTTCCCATCAGCTTTCCCAAGGAGGCAGAGCGGCGCCTTCCCCCAGTCAGAGTTCACCTTCTGCAGCCTCCAGCTGCCCGCTGTGGCCTGCAGGCCTTCTGAGGGCACATGGCCGAGGGGCAAGGGCTGCACAGGGTTTTCAGGCCCTCACCAGAGCAAAGGACCTGTCCTCTCCACTTGCCATCTGGATTTCTGGTGATAAGAGATTTTTATGTTATCGTTTTAAATTATACTTAACAAATAAAAATTTCAGTTTTTATTTTGGATTTCATTTTGGACTGCTTCTGTTCAACTAGGTGAAACGCCATTGTCTCCTCTACCCACCTTCTCAGCGTGCTTCACAGTTTGGGGAGGCCTTGGCGTCTGTTATGACTGCTGAGGGGGCCATGAGAGACGTTAATGATGAGGCGGGCCACCCAGACTGTCCGGCTTGCACACCAGCAAGTTCACACACACTACATCGAGCCCAGGGCTCAGCAGGTGCCATGGGGTCGCCGCCCCCTCCTCATCAGTGTAAGCACAGACATTTAGGCCTGATAAGACTTTAACACTTTTTCAAAGTCCTTTCTAAGACCTTCTCATCTGTTCCTCCCAGGGACCCCTCTGAAAAGTAAGTTGGGTAGGAATGATTATTCTGCTTGTACAGAAGGACAGGTTAAATGACTTGTCTGAGGTCACGTGAGAAACCAGAAGTAAGGTCCCACCTCCACCCTAACCTCAATCCTGCCCTGCCACACCCCTGCCCACGGGCTCCTAGTCAGCCCTGCCCTCGCCTTCTCCACCCAGGCCTGAGGGAAAGGGTTGGGGAATGGGTGCCTGTCACCCTGGCTCCCACTCTGCCTCCTGCACCTCTGTGCTTCCCGAGGCAAGTCTCAGTCACTGCGCTGAGGGACCCAGGAAGTCACATTCTGTGCCTTGTTCCCCAACCCTGCCACATTGATCTGCTGATTCAGCTCTTCAACTGGTCAGTCGGTTCTGGCTTTTGAGGTCATGATGGAGAGGAAGAAGCCAGGCATCCTTCCCAGCATGCAAGGGACATGGCTAACTGGCCGCGCAGCCAGCACTTAATAACACCTGCTCTGTGCCAGGCCCTGAACTGGGCAGTGGGTGAATCAGACTCGCCTGGCCCCCTGGATGCCCACCGTGGTGGGGACAGGCAGGGTGCACACAGGAGAAGCCCCATCTTCAACTTCACACTTGCCAGCCACCCAATTTCCTGCAGGTTCCAATTTCAGGATGGAAGCCAGCCTCCAACAAGGTAAGTCCTGTGGGTACAGACCACCTGACTCTCCTCATCAGGGACATCCATCTCTGTGCTGGCTCTTCCTGGGAGCGGGCTGGGTGTGATATAGCACCACCATCAACAAACCCTGGAGGACTGACCTGCCAGTCCCCTGGGGGAGGATGTGGTTCAGATGGAATTAGAATACAGCAGCCTTGAGAAATGGGCCAAGATCGATAACCGTCTCCTCCATGAAGGATGGAAGGTGGCGACAGAGGAAGGAAGTAGGAGATTCACTCGCGGGAAGCGGGCGGCAGGCTGGGCCCGGGGAGGCCAGGCCAGGCGGCAGGGCCTTGGCAGGCACCCAGACAGCGAGCATGTGCTGGAAGACACGCTCGGCTGACAGCGCAGAAGCAGCTGGGGCTCTTCCATAAGAGGAGATGAGCTCCGGAGACAGCAGCACCACCAGAGCGGCCAGTCCAGCCCAGGCAGGCTGGCACGGAGCAGAGACCATGATCTTGATGGGGATTTTATCACAACAGGGAGAGTGCGGGACCAACACATCTGGCCTCGGTGTCCTCAGATGTTCCCTGCAGGGCAGGGAAGTGATCATCCCTCGGCCTGTTTGGCCCATTTCCATCTGGCACTCCTGGCTCTCCACACGCCTCTCCAGACCACCCCAGCTTTGTTTCCAAGGAAGAGGGAAATTACCTCTACTTGTTTGTTTATTCCTTGTCTTGGTACCAGGAGCCCGAGGGGCCCTCAGGGAGTGGCCAGGGGTTGGGTTGTGCGGGGGCCCTGGGCCTGGTCCCAATCCACAGTGCCTTTCCTTTACGAAACAAGGGACCTCACCACTAACTCGAGCCAGAACCAACCTTTTACAAATGAGGAGACAACCCCAAAGCGGGGAAATAACTTGATCAATATTGCCCTATAAACGCATGCTGGGGCAGGAACCCCATGGCCCGGCTTCTAACCCAGAGCTGTTTGTACAACCCCTCACACCACATCGGGGTCTCAGAAGGAAATTGTTGTGAAATGACGTGTCTGGGCTTTAATTCAAAAGGCTCCAAGGAAAAAAAGGGACTCGATGAAATGACATAGGCAAAATGTGGATAATGTTTAAACCTGGCTGACTGAAGCGCTGGAGTTGACACATCTCAGCCGCTCCGGTTCCCTCAGACCTCGAGTGCTGGCCGGATGGATGGATGGATGTACAAACCCACCTTGGGCCCCGAGCTACCTGTAGGAGCTAGATCCCCTCACTGGGAATGTCAAGGTCTGGTCACAGGGATGCCATCTCCTGAAGTTAGGATTCACCCCAAGGGAAGAAGCTCCAACTGGGAGAAAACAATGACCAAACTGGTCTGACCTCAGGCCTCTAAGGGCATTGCTCACATTTCCTGGGCTCCTCTCTTTACTAGGCAGCCCCCTAAATTCAAACTTTTTTAATTGGCTGATTGGGAATACTATTGTGAAAGATCGCGATGTGTTCAGTTAAACCGAGATGACCCTGTTGTCCATTTCTGCTGTCTACTGTACATTTCCCAAAAGGAAATTTCAAAGCGAAAAATTTAGAAATCCATTTCCCAAAGGAGGGACCCCACAGAGAAGTTAGTAGAAATGGATGAAATTGCTCTGACCTTTCCCCAAACCCCAACTTCCTTTCCCTGAGGTAACGTCCACCCAGCATTGGTGCCAACAAAGGTTCTTTACTTGATAAAACTTGTCAGGCTCCTCTGAACTGTCTCCCCAACAAGGCCCATCTATGTATTTCCTTCTAGATATCCAATTTTATCCAGAATCCTGCTAAATCAGGTTAGTGAGAATTTCCCACTCTTGATATCGATCAAACTCCCCATCCCACGACCCCTCACGTGATATCTGATCTTCCTGGTCTGTCTTCAGCTATAATCCCCCCAGACTTCACGAATGCCTCACCCGTACAATTCGCTCCTCAGTTATAAATCCCTACTTGTTCTGCTTGTGTTCAAAATTGAGCCCCACTGTATACTAGAGTTGAATCTCTCTCCATTGCAATATTTTTTTGTTGTTGTTAGTAAAATCTATCATGACCACTTTAACTTCAGTCTAACTCTGGTTCTCTTTAACCATTTTTAGTGCCATTACTCAGATGTGGATCAGAACCAACATCGGGACCCTCAGATGCGACAAGTGTGATCTTTTGTCCCCGTGATTACCTAATGTCACTTAAAGCCAGAAGGAATTGAGAGACTCTGCCCAATAATCCAAAGTTTATTAGACAAAAACACTTCTGGTCCATGCAAGACTCCCATTTGAGCCATCAAAAAACAAATAGGCCAGGATATGGGTTAGTCTAAGACCTGAGAGCCATCAATAAAATTGTCAAACCCAGATCTGTGTTGTTGCCTGATCCTTACACTATCCTGTCTGCTAATCTTTCCAACACTCAATATTTCACAGTCTTTAATTTATGTTCTACCTGGTTTAGGATTCCCCTTCATAAGGAATCCCAATATTTGTTTGCCTTCACCTGGGATAACCAACAATATACTAGACTGTTATGCCTCAAAGATTTACTGAGGCTCCTACTTACCTCTTGCACACCCTAAATGCCAACTGGAGGGACTCAAATTCCAGGAGATCCCACTTTAATCCAATATGTAGAGGACCTCCTTCTATGGTCAGACAATTAGGACAACTCCTTTGGACACTGAATACTTTAAGACATTAGCAAGAAAGGGCCATAAGGTGGCTAGAGACAAAATTCAACTGTTTTCTCTATGTGTCTGATATTTAGGTCACGAGATTTCAGTTGCAGGTAGAACTATCTCCACAGACAGAGCCTCTACTATTCAACATTTTTCTCTTCCCGACAGAAAATGACAACTGACATATTTTTGGGGTCTCGTTGGGTAGAACGTAGGTACCTAATTTCTCTGTGTTTGCCTCACTCTCCTAGGCCATGACTGGGAAGGCATCCCCAGACCCAGAAGTATGGGTTCCCCCATCCAGCAATGCTTTCAACAACGTTAAAGGCCCTCTACTTTCACCAGACTCGCCAATTACTCCTCGCCTTTTTCCCTTGTTTGTGCATGACACGAGAGAGCGATGCCCTCAGAATGTTATCCCAGAAGCATAATGGACACCGAAGACCTCTGGGATATTATAGTCTGGCCTTGGACCCAGTAGCCAAGGCATATTCCCCTGTGAGCCATGGCTACAACCGCTAAGCTTGACCATGCTACCTCTGTTTTAGTATTAGGCCGTCCGCTCGACAAACACATTCCTCGGGCTGTGCAGACCCCATCGCTTAATGAAAGCCCACAGCACTTGTCAGCATCTCGACTCGCCTCCTGTGAAGTCCTACTCCTCTTTC